AAGGTAATGAATGCTCCTCATTCCAAGCCTCCATACAGTATAGCAACACTCTCCCCAGATCATGGATAAACAAAAAAAGCTTCCATAGTGTAATCTGTTTTTATTATAACTATATATAAATATAAATTGCCCACTCACATGTAATTTCTTCTTGTACACTGCTCTGTATCACCTCATGCTAGAGGTGTACTGCATGGGTATCAAAAGGTGTTCCAATATGGCCCCCATGCCGGAAGTGACGTCACCGCGCACCCGGAAATACCTCCTCGCGTACCGATGCGTTGCGTCACGCTAGCACATGACTTCCTCAGGGTACCCCCCCCTCCCAGTTTTTAAATGCTCCCTGAAAGAAGTTATAAAAGGGGGCTTTGAAAATAAGATTTTAAATAAGAAAGAAAAAGCTTTTTTATGCCCAGTGACCCCGAGACTACCCGTATTTTATATTTTACCAAATATTCACAAGGACCCGCTAAACCCGCCAGGACGACCTATTGTTAACGGTATAGGGTCTCTATGTAGCAAAATTGGAGAGTACATAGCCTATTGCCTCCAACCACTGGTCACCCAAACACCCTCCTATCTCTGAGACACAAAACAAGTTCTAAACATAATTAAAGATGTCAGTATCTCACAAGATTCCTTTTTGGTTACAGCAGACGTAGTATCACTGTACACCAACATTAGCCATAAAGACGGAATGGAGGCTACAGACTTTTTCTCACGCACTTCAGCACTTTACCTCTGATACAAAAAGAACTTATTCTAAATTTACTGGAGTTTGCAATGGAAAAAAAACAATTTTTGATTTAAAAGGAGTATTATTTACAGATTAAGGGGGTGGCCATGGGAGCCAAATTTGCACCCAGTTTGGCTAACCTATTCATGGCCTATTGGGAAAAAGATTTAATCTACGCGAGAGAATGGCCAGAACTATCAATATACAAAAGATACATTGATGATATTTTCCTGATTTGGAATGGAGATGAGCAGTCCTTATTTAACTTCTTTGGAACCTTGAATAATAATGATCGTAACATCAGTTTGACATATACCTTTAGCAAAACAGAAATCAACTTCTTAGACCTTACCCTAATGAATTCTAATGGAAAGATTACTACGAAATCATTTTTCAAATCTACAGACCGAAAGAGTTACATCCCCATGGATAGCTGCCACCATCCTTTGTGGCTAGCCAATATCCCAAAGGGACAGTTCACTAGAATTCGTAGAAACTGTACAGACATTAATGATTACCGTCTACAGGCTAAGATCCTGAAAAAAAGAATTATGGAAAAAGGATATAATGAGGTAACTTTGGAAAATACTATGAATGATGAGGCAGGTCTGGATAGAGATATAATGCTAATGGATAATGGGAAAAAAAACTTCATCTCGGGTCTGCCCATTTATCACCACATATTCCATTCAACACAGAACCATAAGTGGGATTATCAAGAAGAACTGGGATATTCTTAAAACAGACCCAGTACTTACTAATATCTTACCTGAAAAACCAGAGATCATATTTCGGAAGGCTACGGCCATAAGACATGGCCTGGCGCCTAATATCGTGGACCCGCCTAAAACGGTGTCATTGTGCTCTAATTTGAGTGGTTTTCATCCATGCAATAAGTGTGTGATTTGTACATGTAGCACAAGTAGGAAAAAGATTGTAGAATCCTTTACCTCAAATACCACGGGTAAATCCTATAAGATCAAAAACTTCATCTCCTGCAAAAGCAGGTACGTTGTTTACATGCTCACATGCCCATGCAATAAACAATATGTGGGAAGGACAACAAGGAGACTCAGAGATCGTCTCCATGAAAATGTGTATAACGTTAAACGGGGGTTCAAGGAGCATTCTCTATCTAAGCACTTTAGAATTCACCATCATAGGGACCCCACTTTACTCAGATTTGTAGGAATTGACATAGTGACCCCACACTGGAGGGGGACCCACAAGAAACGAGCAGTCTCCCAACTAGAGACCAAGTGGGTTTACGAACTGGGCACCCTATTCCCCATGGATCATAACATAGAGGTTGATCTCAATTGTTTTATTGATAACAGTTAAAATTTTACCCAAGTATTGAACTGATTGTATTTTTAGGATATTCCTTTACGGTTTTTATTGTGTTTTTAGTCACGGGTAGTCTTAATGTTTTAATGAATTTTAACATGATTCATTATGTTCATGTGTATACTATTCTATTGTATTATCTTATGTGGTTTATAAGAAATATTTTAAGATTGATGGGTATTTTAATGGTCCTTATCAAGGATCACACTTATTGATTAGAATTTCATGTTTATTAGATTCATTCATGCCTATCCTGATCTATTTGGATAAGACACGATCATTATCATTATTTATTTATTACTGTGAATTTCAGTCGATTTTACCTTCTTAAACTGGTGTCTATTTTACTTGGGTCTTTTTACTGCTATATGAATAAGCCGAGTATAGAATATATTACTGCATTATATATATATAATTTTTAGCATATTTATTTACATTACATTCATATAATGATTGAGCACCTTATTTGGACAGACTAACTATGAATCAGTATGCAAAATGAAGAATCATCATTTATATATATAATTAGAATCCATACTCAGTGCGTTTTATGGCATTAAAAATACTTTCACACAATTTCCCCACACTAGCAGCTGGCTCTTGTGCGCATTGGCTGAACCCTCTTGCAGCTGGGTACGTTCATCCAGCCTGTTTGTTAAGATCCACGGCAAAATGGCGCTGATGCGCTCGCACATGCGCAGTAGCTAATCTTCAGGAAAATGGCGGTGGCGCGAAAATTCAAGCGCCCTGCCCTATTTAAGTACAGTTAATGTTCAAACAGCAATATTGACACTTCCTCTGAAGATGTGTGTTTACACGAAAGGCCTTAGGAGTCAACACACTGTGTTTTTTAACCACCGGAGCCATTTATAGGTCCAGTGGTTACCTATTCCACTGGTCAGTGTACCTTTTATTACTCTTCACTATACTTTTATTGTAATACTTGCTTTATGAATAAATAATTTTTTGGCAATATTACACTGAGAATTTTTTTATGACTCCGCCACGGAGCCTTTTAAGTATGCAGAACCTGGTAAGTTCTTCAATATCCGGAGAGGGGGAATTCCTGTAATCAGATGATAGACCATGCTGATTTCTTAGGAGACCTCTGGAGCAGATATCACTCACTTACTGCGGAGCTGCTAAATTGGAGACGGATGTCCCAGACGCACACCCCATTATTAATGCGCATAATCCATGCGCTTCTGGTAAGCGCATAACTTTACTATTCATATGGAACATCACCAAATGAGGATACATCTATCTGCATGTTACACAATATCGATTGTATACTGAAGCTTATTGGGATTGTACTTCCACCAATTTTATTAGTGCTGCACTTTATTATTATTTATGTTACCGTGTGTGGACTGTTTTTGAGGTTTTATGTGACAAGATATACTGATTTTTCTGTGAGTCACTATTGCAATTTTTGTGTGAGTCACTATTGCATTATTTATCACTTGCACTTGCTATATTCCCTTAGTGGGAAGTCACGTGTTGCACAATTTGTGTGTTATCCCTGTTTTGTGTGCATTTAAGGGGATTAAGTGCGTCACATTATATATTATTTGTTTAGTATTTATTTAGCACTACACTCTTTTTGTATAAATATACCGAAAGAAAGCTCTATCTGACTCAAAAAATGATACAAATGTAAATTGGGTACATTGCTGCATGACTTAGTAATTGTCATTCAAAGTTCAACAGCACTGGAAGCTGAAAATTGGCCTAGGCTGGAAGGAATCTTTGCAGACCTCATTTTTCTTTTTCTCCCCATTCTTCTGACAGTGGTCATTTTTTACCAAGGGAAGATGAATTTATCTCCCTTTACTTCCTGGTAGTCTGGGACTGCCACCTGAAACATATGACAGGAATTCCCAGGATTCCGCTGTGAGACTAGGGTGACATCAGTGTCTTACTCAACCAGGAAGTGGAAAACATGTAAGTAAATTGCAAACAATGTTTGTTTAGCTAATGAATGTAAGATTGTTTCATATCAGCATGCAGACCTGTATGCTGCTGATTTTTTTTTCCTTTAACAGTTGCATTTATTAAAAATCATAAAAAAATATAAACAAACCAAGCTGCTATGATTTTTAGAGGAAAGGGAGGAAAGGTCTATTTTAAAACAGATAACAATCTGATTTAAATTAAAATGCTATGGGTTCCGTATAAATTATATGTGCCAATTGCATAACTGAGGAATGACCAGTGTTGTCACATGATGATGGTACAACATATCTCATTCTGTTCAGTCTAAAGGTGTATTTGTAAATGAAGTCAATCTCCCCGACGCGTCGTAGCTTCAACAGCAAAGAATTTGTTTCACAATAAATATTCCTATGTGTACCTTCATTTTGTCTGTATGCTATAAAGAAAATGACCAGCAAAAATTTAATTTTAAAATATTTACTATGCAGCCATACTTTTTCTTTTTTACTTTATTATAATTACAAAATTTACCAAACAAGAAAAGTATGTTTTGCAGTTGAGACTAGTAACACTGTGCTTTTAAAAAGTTGTGTTTAAAATCAAAATCATTGTTTACTGTCTGGTTATAATGAACTAGCTTATTAACCTTTGGGTTTTTAAGATTTATGTTGAAAGTACATTTAAATTGTCCCAAAGTTTCCTTTCTGCTGTTCATGCAAGGTATTTGTGTGTAACAGTTGGTAACAAGAAGTGAAAACAGCAAGCGTATATGTCTTCTCAGCTTAATGAAAAGGTGATTGCAGTCTGTCTCATTACAATTGGAGAAAGATATTGCTCCAACTTTCTTGATATTAGCAAAACAGCATATTCCAGAGCACCACAGCAATCTACTACCATTGTTGGAAGTTTTCCATTAATGGTTTGTTCATTTTTATTGAAATCTTATGTTGATTGGGGACATTGGAGACATTTAACTGCATATTCATGAACAACCACAGCGATCTACCACCATTGCTGGGATTTTTCCATAAATGATTTCTTCATTTTCATTGAAATATAACATATTGATTGGAGACATTTTAGTTGGGGTGCAACAAGGGCCTGCAGAACCTCTGGGGTTTGCTTGCTGAACAAGATGAGTATGAGGGTATTTCTGCAAGAATACAATTCCACATTCTCCAGAGCAGTAGTTAGCTTTGTATCTTTTTGGTGCAATAATCCAGTCCCATCCAAAAGCTTCAAAATCAACTGTCAGTGGATATCGACAACATCGAGATTCTGTTGAATGTTCATCACAGTCTAGACCAAAATCTCTGCGGGATCTTTTTGGAGTATCCATCACCTTAACTTCTATGAAGGGATTCTGATGGTAAAAAGAAACAATGCATTTCTGATACATCTGTATATATTTAATGCAATATAAACGTGTAATTTATGAGCAATTTATTATTCGCTTCCTGTTTCCTAGCTACCAAATAGATGGTAGCTGTGTACTATTAAAAGGTCAGTATTAAATTCCTACTGTATTAATCAGTGATAAAATGTGTATAATTAAAATAATTTTGCTGGATTTCCATTTATGTTCTAAACCTCTCTGTACTTTTCTGGTGAATTAATAATTTAATCAATAAGCTGGAAAGTAATAATGATGTTACATAGTTAGTCTGGCTGAAAAAAAAAGACAAAAGTCCATCCAATTCAACCATAAAAAATTAAATAAAAAAAAGTTATAATCCTACACCACAGTTGATCCAGAGGAAAGCAAAAAAAAACAGCAAAGCATGATTCAATTTTCTCCTACAGGGGAAAAAATTCCTTCCTCATCCCCCAAGAGGCAATCGGATATTCCCTGGATCAACTTTACCTATAAATGTTAGGTTATGTTTTAAATGTTGTGGATACCAGTTATATTCTGTGTACCCAAGAAATAATCCAGGCCTTTTTTAAAGCAATCCACTGAGCTGGCCAGAACCAACTTTTGAGGGAGTCTATTCCATATTTTCACAGCTCTTACTGTGAAGAAACCTTTCGGTGTTTGGAGATTAAATTTGTCCTCTGTGATGACCTCAGGGTGAATAACTCTACACCGAGATCACTATATGAACCACTGATGTATTTATACATGATCTTATTCCCCCTTAAGCTCCTCTTCTCAAGAGAGAATACATCCAGTTCCTTTAATCTTTCCTCATATCTGAGCTCCTCTATGCCTCTTATCAATTTGGTTGCCCTTCTCTGTGCTTTCTCCAGTTGCCCAATGTTCTTTTTGTGAATTGGTGCCCAAAATTGAACTGCTTATTCCAGATGAGACATTACCAATGATTTGTACAGGGGTAAAATGATATCTCTCTCTCTCTCTGGAGTCTATACCTCTTTTAATACAAGAAAGGATTTTGCTCGCTTTAGAAACCGCAGATTGGAATTGCATGCCATTATTAAGCTTATGAGCTACCAGAACTCCAAGATACTTCTCCACCATTGATTCCCCCAGTTGTACTCCCCCTAGTAAATATGATGCCTGCATATTCTTAGCCTTCAAGTGCGTAACCTTACATTTATCAACATTAACCATTTGCAGGCTGCAGACGGCTTCACGGTGGCCGGCCAATTCTGGGAGGGCATCATATGATGTCCTCCCGCAACACACCCTCCCAGAACACGCCCTCCCACACCCCCCTGGGGGTGCGCACCCAGCAATCTACGTGATTGCTGTGTCCCAGGGACACAGATGATCACGTGATGTGGTAAAAGGCCAATGACAGCGGCCTTTTACCACGTGATCAGCCATCTCCAATGACAAAGCAGGTCACTGGTAAATGCAGTTGCCTGTTATCGGCTGCACTTTCCTCACACTGTCACAGCGTGAGGAAAGTACTCCCAATAACCGGCAATTGTCAGAGGACGGATTGACACCAATCATCAGTGCCCTGATGATCAGTGCCACCTACCTGTGCCCAGCAGTGCTGCCCACAAGTGCCCATCAGTGGCACCCACCTGTGCCCAGCAGTACTGCCCACAAGTGCCCTGCAGTGCCACCCACCTGTGCCCACATGTGCCCAGCAGTGCCACCCACCAGTGCCCATCAGTACCACCCATCAGTGCCACCAGTCAGTGCCGTCAGTGCCACCCATCAGTGCCGCCTATCAGTGCCCATCATTGTTGCATATCAGTGCCAGCTCATCAGTGCTGCCTATCAGTGCCATCATTGTTGCGTATCAGTGTCAGCCCATCAGTGCCGCCTATCAGTGCTGCCTATCAGTGCCGCCTATCAGTGCTGCATATCAGTGCCCATCAGTGCTGCCTATCAGCGCAGCCACATCAATTTACATCAGTGAAGGAGAAAAATTACCCGTTTGCTACATTTTATAATAGAAACAAAGAAAAACTTTTTTTTTTCAACAGTTTTGCTTTTTTTTTTTGTTTATAGCGCAAATAATAAAACACCCAGCACCTTGTACATACCACCAAAAGAAAGCTGTGTTTGTGTGAAAAAAATTATAAATATTTCATATGGGTGCAGTGTTGCATGGCCGTGCAATTGTCACTCAAAGTGCAACAGCAAGGAAAGCTGAAAATTGGCCTGGGCACGAAGGGGGTATAAGTGCCTGGCAGGCAAGTGGTTAAACATCATTTGCCACATAGTTGCCCACTTAAACAGTGTTTTAAGGTTGCCTTGTAAATTGGAGACATCCTGTAAGGACGTTATTCCACTGCACAGCTTGGTGTCATCTGCAAAGACTGAAATGGGATTTTTAATCCCAGATCCTATATTGTTTATAAATATATTAAAAAGTAAGGGTCCCAACACTGGACCTTGGAATACACCACTGACAACCCTAGACCATTCAGAGTGTGAATCATTATGATGTGTACATTATTAAAGGACTTGAGACTATTAAAGCAGCATAAACAGATGGTAGGAGCCCAGTGTAGGATGGAAAGGTAGAGACAGATAATTTCCAAGTTTGCTGTCAAATTTGTGAAAATCCTAATGGATGTTTGTTATGGATTTTCATTTACACAGCATGCCTACACATATATTTATTACCCTTTAGATGTTTCTTAGGAAAAGGTAGAATGCCAGACTGTAAATATTTCTGAACACGTTCAGAGAGTGTCTGTTTCAATAGAAAGGCTAAGGACATGCTTAATTTCCTCACATTAACATAAAACGCAGGAGGCAAGATTTTAAATCATTGAAAGAGAAGTTCTGGAATAAAAAAAAAAATCGATACTCACCTCAGTGGATGCAGCATTGGTCCAATGCTGCATCTGTCTCCCACCACTTCTAAGACCAGGAACTGAGTGATCAAAGCCCACTGTTTGCTCAGTTCTCGGTCTTCACTAAGCAGAGAGTGGAGACTGTCAATGACTGGCCCTGTGCTCTGCCACTCTAGTGGTCACTGGAGTACTCACTGAGAGGCTGAGCCAGCTGCTGGTCCGGGCACATTAACCTCCCTAGCGGTCTGATTATGTCAGTATTTCTGTGCTCAAAGCGGTACATTTTTTTGCATGGAAATATGTACCGTATTTTCCGGCGTATAAGACGACTTTTTACCCCTTGAAAATCTTCTCAAAAGTCGGGGGTCGTCTTATACGCCGGTAACGGCATGCTGACACTTTTTAGGGGGGCGGCGCGGTGCTGCCGCCGCCCCCCCCCTTCCAACAGAAGGGAAACTAAGTACAGGGGTGGGCAGGGGCTGCTGTCTCTTACCTGGCTCCGGTCCCACGACGATCTGGTCCAGGAAGCGCGGCTGCTCCTTCCTTCGGTTCGTCCACTGGATGTTCGCGCGGCTGCTCGGCTCCGCCTCCTCACCGGTGATTGACCGCCAGAACTGTAGCTCAGGAAAGGCACACAGGCTGCCAATCACTGGCGAGGAGGCGGAGCTGAGCGGCCCCCGCGAAAATCGAGTGGAGATGCAGGTAAGTGTGCCGTGCTTAGGTGCTGCTGCAACCACATATGCTGGCTGCAGCAGCACTGTACTGGAACAGGGGTCAGCAAGTGTCAGTGGGAGGAATAGTGCCCCAGCGTTGGTGTCACTGATACCAACGATGGGGCACTTTTCCTCCCCCCCACTGACACCAACGATGGGGCACTATTCCTCCTCCCCCACTGACACCAACGATTGGGCACTATTCCTTCCCCCCCCACTGACACCAATGATGGGGCACTATTCCACCCCCCACTGACACCAATGATGGGGCACTAGTCCACCCCCCACTGACACCAATGATTGGATACTATTCCTCCCCCCCCACTGACACCAACGATGGGGCACTATTCCCCCCCCACTGACACCAATGATGGGATACTATTCCTCCCACTGACACCAAAGATGGGGCACTATTCCACTGACACCAATGATGGGGTGCTATTCCCCCCAATGATACTAATGATGGGGCACTATTCCTGCCACTGATACCAATGATGGGGCACTATTCCACTGACACCAATGATGGGGTGCTATTCCCCCCAATGATACTAATGATGGGGCACTATTCCTGCCACTGATACCAATGATGGGGCACTATTCCTCCCACTGACACCAATGATGGGACACTATTCCTCCCACTGATACCAATGATGGGGCACTATTCCTCCCACTGATACCAATGATGGGACACTATTCCTTCCACTGACACCAATGATGGGGCACTATTCCTGCCACTGATACTAATGATGGGGTGCTATTCCTCCCACTGACACCAATGATGGGGCACTATTCCTGCCACTGATACTAATGATGGGGCACTATTCCTGCCACTGATACCAATGATGGGGCACTATTCCTCCCACTGACACCAATGATGGGGCACTATTCTTCCCACTGACACCAATGATGGGGCACTATTCCTCCCACTGACACCAATGATGGGGCACGATTCTTCCCACTGGTGTGCACTGGAAGAGGGGTAGTCTTATACGGCAAGTATAGCCCAAACACTACATTTTAAACAGGAAAAGTAGGGGGTCGTCTTATACGCCCAGTCGTCTTATACGCCGGAAAATACAGTATTTTTTTTATTGTAGGCCTGTAATTTTTAGGAATAACTCGCTGTAATCTGTCTGAACAAGAGTCTAGTAAACACATCCCGGGTATGTTAAAATTTGAAACACGAAATCATAAATTATAATTTATTAAATAATCACAAAAAAATAATAATATAATAATAATAAATTTAATTCAATAATATAATCAAACCAAAAACACTGAAATTTGAAATAGCGCCAAGTTCGCACATCACTGGGCAGCACATTGGCTAAATGGTTAGCACTTCCGCCTGGCAGTACTAGGGTCGCTGGTTCGAATCCCAACCATGGCACCACCTGCCTGGAGTTTGCATGTTCTCCCTGTCACTGCG